ACAGATTTATTTGGGCATAAACTTCAGTGGGTAAAAACCTCACTTCTTTGGATGCATCCAAAAAAAAGTGAGGTTTTTACCCACGAAAGCTTATGCCCAAATAAATCTGTTAGTCTTTAAGGTGCCACCAGACTCCTTGTTGTTTTTGTAGATACAGACTAACACGGCTACCCCCTGATACTTAACTATACACACAGTGCTCTCAAAGGCACAAAGTAACCCAACTCTAATCTCTGTCACTCACACTAATCCTAGAGGATAGCTGGAACAGCAGTAGGTAAAAAGTTTTCAGAGAGAGAGAGTTGTGTTTTCTAAACTGACTGCCTCTTCCAAATGTTTTTTCAAGGGAATATGTTGTTCCTTTGGTTACAAAAGAGACGGGGACTTCAGTTATAGTGGGAGAGTCAGGGTGGAAGTCAAAGTTTATCTGGAAGAGAACTTCCCCAAGTCCAGGGGCTGTTCTGATTTGGCCCTTCATAGGGGTATGGGGCTGCTGCAATGTTGGGATATCAGATCCAAACTTTTGGAAAGGTTATGGATGTTTGTATCTGGAGTTCGGGTCAGCCCTCACCCCAGGAATAACACATTTGTTGGGTTTCTATAGGGGGTCTCTGGAAATGAAACGGAAACTGGGGAGTAGGGAGTAGTTGCCAAGTTTAGAAATGAGATATAGAGGCATCACCTACAGACATAGAATCACAGGATCATAGAATCATAGGACTGGAAGGGTCCTTGAGAGGTCATCTAGCATGATGACCAATGTAGCCAATCATGTAACATCTCCTGAAACCAGTCTCCATAAGCCAGAGAAATTTTTGCTATTTAAAAATGCTCTGAAGGCACCACAGATTTTACATATTCCAAGTTCTCCCGGACTATTAGCCTTGGGCATAATCCCAAAATCCAGTTTACAGTGACCTGCAACATTATTCTTTAGTACTAACATCCTTTAGAAACAAAAACCTATAACTGCAAACCAAGTTCAGGTAAAAACATGTGGAGACGTGGGATGGTCTTGCCATGTGCTGGGGTCTATGGGGAATGGCCTCTGATCCCTTCTGCTTTACTCTAAGTCCTGGAATCTCAAACACATATGCTCCCTATCACACATGTTCCACAGCCTTTTCTCCAGCAAGGTCAGTTCGATGCACAAGCAGTACCGATAACAGCTTGAGGCCCCAAATGGTGCTCAACAAACAGTCTGGCCTATTTTCTTCCTCTAGCAGTAGGAATGGGAACTTGCCCCTCCACTACCTTGGGCTCTGTGTATGTTTGAGGGTCTCACAAATCCTAAGTCCCAAGCTGCCCTTTCAATGTAGCCAATCAATGACTATAACAGGAAGAACACCGAGTGTGTGGATATGAGGATTATAGCTAAGGGTGTGCTATAATTCCTGTAGCTAGGCACGCATTTCATAACAGTCTGATGAGATAAGCCAGAGGAGAGAAGGCAAACAATCCCACATTCCATTAGGGGGCTGACATTCTTTGGGATCTATTATTTAGAATTGGGTTTCATTGTTGTTGTCGTTGTTTGCCAGTGTGGCCCTTTTGGAGATGGGGAATGGGGGCATATCAAAGGGCTGTATTCACAAGAGGAATGGCTTCACAAAGCATGCAGCACACATGAGCTGTGGGC